AAAAGCTCACAGAAGCGAATAATGAAAGTGTTTACCCTCAATAATAAAGAACATTTTACAGTAGAACTTGTTATACGTACATACATTTTTACACAAGTTTCGTATCTTTATAAAGCTGCAATTGATCCCCTAATCAGAACATCAATCATTTTCTCTGGGCGGTCGCACTATGGAATGGCGTTTGATAGCCTCAACCAGCCATTTAATGCCTTCATTCACACCTTCACTGTATTATCCAAGAAAAGAAATAAGCTTAAGTTGGGTCGGAATTGTATGGGACGGTGCTACTTCTTACCCTGTGAGCGCTGATACTGGCATGGTGAGGCAGTCACGTCGACCTATGAGCGCTCCAGACTGTTGAAAAACTGGTTTAATGTCACGTACACCCATTACGTCGGGCAAATCCTGTTTATTGGCTAGAATCAATAGTGGTACGCCAGAGAGCAACTCGTTTTTAATCATTTTGTCTGCAATTAAGCATAAGTCTATAGTTTAAGGTGCTTGTTATATAAAATAAATGTATTTTATAGCAACCAAAAATCGCCTTTGACTCCTCCATGCGTTCGCGATCATTCGAATCTATCACATAAATCACGCCATGTGATTCCTGGTAGTATTTATCCCAAAGGGATTGTAGTTCTTGTTGTCCGCCTAAATCCCAGAAATTTAGTCGTACCCCAGCCACATCGATTGTACCAATGTTCAGGCCTACCGTTGTAGTGATCTTTGCCGGGTTCATGCCTTTGTAATTTTTTGTAAATTTGGTTTTCGCTGCTTCCAAATAAGTCTTAAATAACAGGAAAAAGAAGCTTAATAATTTAGTTTTGCAAACAAGATTCACATACCGTTTTCCCAGCATTGTCCAGTCCCAATATGACCACACAGTACTCCTCCTTTTGTGTGAGGTATTTGTAGAAGCCATGTAGTAGTGTGTACATTATAGGTGGTAATTGTGTTGGAAATTCTTTGCTCTATACAAACAAATTCGCAATTGTTTAACTTTATGCTAAAATACCTCTTTCAGAAAAGATAAATAAAACAAAAACTGCCAACCTGCAGCAAAATCAGCTGATGCACATTTTGGGTGTGTTCAGTAAATGCAGCCGGCAACATTTATTCCTTTACTTTAAAACGGTGTTCACATGAGGCGACAGTATAGACAGTAGCCATGATTCAAGATGCAATGATACAGGTGTTATCAGTTGGAAACTTCTCGCTCTAATTCCGCCATATTGACTGCCTTAGGTGAGACAGTGTAACTTCTTTAACAATTCTTTGCCTAATAATATAGTTGAATATTTTTTTATTTTTGCTCAGTATACAAATTTTTTGTCTAGTTATTTTATCTTATTTTATTTCATTTCATTACGAACATACTATAAAAAAGCAAATTTGGTTTAGGAGAAAATGTGAAATTTTATATTTTTCCCCCAAATGGGGCTTGATTGCTTCCCGTTTTTCTTCTCGTTCTACTGAGCTAAGGCAGTGTCAAATCGAGCTGTCACAATTGATACCACCTTGTATTTTTGCATCATGGCCATGATTCAATAACTACAGGTTGTAGCAATCGTACAAAAACAACATTTACCGTTGGTATGAACTCCCTGTGTCATCAACATCTTCTTTATGTATTCGTATTCGTATGTTAATGTATACCCTGCATACCAGGATTTCAAGAACTCTGAAAGGATTCACATTTTTTTTAAAGAATTTTCTCTAAGAAATCGTACAGAAATTTCTTTACTAGTTCTTGTCAACCGCTTCATAAATTTTTCTTTAAAGATTCCTAAAAGAATCGTAACAAATTTCCGATACTCTTAAAGACTTCGGTAACATTTGTTTGCAGGGTATATATTTTCGTACATGTGTATGTATACGCGAATATGTAAACAAAGCAAAACAGACGATAATTTGACACAAGCGTGCTCATAAGAAGAAGCAACGCTTCTATCGATATCACCCACGGTGGTGTGGTTTCAGGTTTTCTAAACATTTATTTAAGCTTTTGGCACGTTACTTTTGGGACACCCTGTATACATAAGTATGTACTTTTAAAGCATTTCAAAAAATATATTACAATTAAGTACTCACCTTTTTAGTACTAAAATGAAATCAGTCGGTTTGTGCTTTGGAAAGCTTTTTTTAAGCATTTCTTTTGCATCAAGTTAATTAATTTATTATGTAAATAAAAATATTTTTTCTCAATTTCGGTAATACCAATCTTGATTACATAACTTACTTTAAAATACATATTTCTTTACATACTCAAAAACTTGCCAGTCAAAGCGGAGCATACATAAGTAATAGAGATGGAAATTCTTTTTTGTTATTTGAAAATTGTTATTTTAATATGTATATTAAATGAGTTCACGAAACAATATATCTTGCACATTTTGCAATAATCGGTTATTGAATTAAATTTTTAGTTTAATTTTTTATGCAACAAAATACTAAAATTAATATGCCCTAAGTAATTGCAAAAGCATTGAACAATCTAAATACGAACATTTTAGGCTATGCTTCAATATTTAATAGTAGTGAATACGTATTAACTTTTAAATTTCATAAAATTTTCCGTTGGTTACAATGAGAATGGTGAGTGTGCAATTCATTGTCAATGCCTCTTACGAATTACGTTGAAAAAAAATTACGAACTCAAAATTTATTAGCAAACATAAAAAATCACAAAATCCTTCTGCAAATACTAGAGTAAGAACAAATATGTTTTGAAAGGTGAATAATGATAACAAATTATAATTATCAAACCAATAATAATACAGAGTGGAATGTGTATGCAAATCTAAATAAAAGTTATATAAAAATGCGAATATATTTAAGCAACGCAAACGTTGTAAGTACATCTGTAGTGTTAGTGAGTGCTCTTGACATACCAGATGAATTAAATAACTTTTTAAAATTACTGAAATTTAAACAACAAAAAGTTTTCTACAAATTTTGTTAAAAAATATGTATTAATGCCATGTCAGCAATAATGCTTGCTCGAATTTATTTTTCTACTTTCTTTTTTAACTGTTCAGTTCTTTTTTTGTTTGGAGCACATTCGTATGCATAAATGTATGTAATTGTTTTCAAAAATTGCATTGTATAATTAAGATATACATACTTAATTTTACTAATAAACTGAACTCTTTAATACTCTATTTTATATTACATCAACAAGTTTTACATACACATTTGCCGTATTGTTTTTTTTGAATTTTTGCTATACCATAAACTGGTTTGATTACCATTTTAACTTTTTGCTAATTCCTTAAATTTCGTTAAATTGTCGATATTGTATGATTAGTGTTACATGTACTTATACATAGCCGCGTAAAATATTACTAACATGAATGCAATAAATTATATGCAATACGATTCTGGCCAAAAGCTTTTTTAATTTTCCGTTTCATTTTCTTTGTTTGTTGTTAAATCTTTCTAGCATTAGTATGTTATTAATGTACATACATTTACTTTTATGCTTCTCTGAATGAGTTTATGTATATGTATTTATATATTTGTTCAAACCTAATTAGAATTGCACCCAATTTGCGTTTGTTGCATTCTGCTGCTGTTGTGCCTGGCCTTGACCACTATAAAGGAAATAAAATTATAAGTAATTTGTACTTTTTTTAAAGAATTTTAATTTTACCCTGCCGAGGCATAATCCGTCCACTCGGTGCCTGGACCACCAGGCGCTTTATGTGCAGGCGAAGTTCCCGGACTTTGTCGCACTGAACCGCCGGCTGTTGATGGTGGTGGCGCGATCTTTCCAACACCGCCTGGCGGTGGAGG